TTTATACGGTTATAACAACCATGTTTGTGTCATATGTACAACAAAAGAGGTTAGGGACATATTATGGACAAAATTAACTGTTACATTTTTTAAACGGTTATAACAACCATGTTGGTGTAATATGTAGAAAAAAACCTTAAGGACCTAATGTGAACAAAGTTAAAACCTTATTACTCTCCTAAATCATTATTACGTGGAATGTTTCGTGGTTGAGTTTATATTGTGAACACAATGCCATAATCTTTTGATTATATGAACAATAAATATTTTTTGCTTGTATCTATAATATAATGACATAATAAATTAATAAAGCTTATAAAAAAGTATTAAAATGTTGTTTAACTATAAATGTTCATAGTTTTTTTACATCCACAGATGAAAAAATCTGAACTAAAAGTTTGTAGTTTGTAAAAAATAGTATTGTTAGTTTTCTTAAAGTCTCTACATTATATAAGTGATGGACTAAAAGTTTGTAGTCTGTAAAAAATAGTATTGTTAGTTTTCTTAAAGCATGTACACTGTATACGTGATGGACTCAAAGTTTGTAGACTGTAAAAAATAGTATTTGTTAGTTTTCTTAAAGTCTGTACACCATATAAGTGATACTAAATTACATTGATCATAGATGATACTAAACAAACAAACTAGATTGTAATACTCGTTTCATTATAACATGTATTGTTTTGAAGGATATAACTTGTTTAAAAGACAAGTACAATAAATAAACGCATGAAGTTTGCCTTAAGTTGTTTATAGGAGGTATATTGGCGCCAAGATGTGAAGTAAAAAGGCAGAAATGACAAAATATAAGTAGGTTGTTATTATTGGAAAAAGAAATGGCACACGTTTATGATGACACGACGTGGCGGTCAAGGTTGTGGTTAATTGAAGTCAACAACCAGGTCGCGGCATGTCAGGTGTCTAGGAGATGGACACATTTTGAATGGTTTAGACATATGGAGAGTGAGATAGACACATGGCAGAAAGAGGCGACACATAACATTGATTGCAGCGCGACATACTTATGCTTACAACACAATTACTCGTAATCTTGGTGTATATAAATGAAGACGTGTTCTTCATTTGGAGTTTTTACAAATAAAACTAGATAAAGAGAGAGAGAGAGAGAGAGAGAGAGAGAGAGAGAGAGGGAGAGAGAGAAAGAGAGGGATTAATTTTCAAGAGTTCGATAAGAGACTTGGTGTTGGAATGTGAGGGTATGAGATGTCAACAGGGATGAGGTATCCTCTTGTTTTGTTATTGCATTATTATATTTATAGCATAATTAGGAAGTGTTGTTGGAATACAAGTTACTTGTTAGAAGTTGTAATATGGTGCTATTACGAACTTCATTTTAAACCTATCAAGTGAATTCCTTGGATTGGTTAACAAGGTTATAAACTATAATCAATGGAATTGCTAGAAATATGAGATTTAATTAGTAGCTCAAAAGGTTAATCCAATTACACTTACACTTTGTAATTTGATTAGTTTGGTGACAATTGTCACAAAGTTTAGCTTGTAGTAGATTATGACCGGTTTTGTGGAACAAATTATTTGTTATGTAGGTGTTGGTAGAGTTGCAAGCTGATAGGCAATGAGAGCAAAAGACCGAAGTAGGACTTAGCCCTACAAACTAGCCAAGAGAGTAATTCTACTCTAACATATAGTGTTGTTGATTAATGTTGTCGTACAACATGTGGACTAAGTGTATTAATATATTATTATATTGTGCATTATTAAGTTAATGCTATATTGAACTCTTGTGAAATAAGTTTAGGTGATAGTTGATAATTGTAACATCCCAAAATTCAACTATATTGTTTTTTTTGAAGTTCAGAGTATAAGTTATTCTAAAGGATTTCATTTATAATCATTAATGAGTCATAAAATTAGTGTATCAACATAATTATAAAAAATACTGATGTTAAGTCTTGTTTTGAAATCTATAAGATAACACAATTTGGATGAAATAAATGTCACGCATCAACGAGAATGTCCAAATATCATAGTTAAGGCAGCTCCTTCCCCTTCGAACCTGAAAGTCCTACAACTAAAAACATAAAGTAGCATCTGTAAGCCTAAGGTTTAATGTGTAAGCAATATAATACTCATTATACAAATCATATGGAATACGTAACTTAGCAAATAACAACAAGCAATAATTCACATGTTACTTTACATTCTAACACATAACATATTCCAACATATTCATAACCACTATGCGACTACAACTTCTGAGCGGATATTCTCTACAACTATAGATCATCTGATCACACTTCCCTTCGAGAGGTTGTTTGTGATCATATATACTACCACAACACCACTAGAAGTTCCCTCCAAAAAGGTTATTCTCTAGTTTTATTGATCATATCAACAACACTTCCCTCCGAGAGGTTGTTTGTAGACGTACATAACATAATCTCATAGTCCATATAATACTAAAAAATGATATTTCCAAACAAAACTCTATTATTAAAATATCAAGTAGAGTTAAGGAAACTAGATGTAGATATAAAACATATTAAAAATAAAATAAAGCAATGTTATTTTGAAAATCCGTTACAATTTTGGGACAAAAACCAAATAAGAGCTAAATTAGAAATGAAAGATAAAGATAAAGATATAAGAATCAAAGTAATGAAATATAATTCTGACGATCAAAATGAATATAGAATACATACAAAGAATTGTTAGATCTTAAATTAATTAGACAAAGTCATAATTCACATAGTTCTCATGTCTTAATGGTTAGGAAACATGCTAAAATAGTTGGAGGAAAATCTCGAATGGTGATAATTTATAAAATATTAAATGATAATAATGTATTTGATGGATATTTTTTACCACATAAATAAAGTCTAATCAGTTAGACTAGAAATAAAAAATATTTTCAAAATTTTATTGTAAACATGGGTTTTGGAAAATAAAAATGCATCCAAATAGTATTTCATACACTGCATTTCGACACCACAAGGACAAAATGCATGGCTTGTTATGCTTTTGTATTAAAAAATGATCCACAAATATTTCAAAGGAAAATGGATAATATATTTAAAAATCATGATTTATTTTTGTTTATGTTGACGATATGTTGGTATTATCAAATGATATACAATTGCATTTACGATATTTAAATACTTTTGAAGATTTGTGCATTCAAAATATATTAGCTTTATCTGGAAAGAAAACTAAACTATTACAAGATCAAATAGAATTTTTAGGAATAAAAATTAATGGTAATGAAATAGAACTTCAAAGTCATATACTTAAAAATTAAAGTACAAAGTTTTCTTGAAATACTAAATTATGCTTCTGATTTTATTAATAATCTAGGAGCATTAAGGAAACCCTTTAAATAACTATTAAAAAAGATAGAGTTTTTAGCTTTGATAGGAGTTTACAAAACCAAGTAAAAACGATAAATGAAAGTTGTAAATATTTACCAAAACTTCAATAATCAAAAGAAGATGACAATTTAATTTTAGAAATAGATGCCTTTGAAAATATTTGAAGTGGAGTCCTTAGGAGACTAGATTATAACCCTAAACATGAAAAGGTTGGTGAAAGTATAAATCAATATTGTTCGGGAACATTAATTTTCTGATACACAAACTAGACATCATATTAATGAAAACTAGTTATTAGTTGTAGTTAAAAGTTTTCAAAAATTTTATTACTTTTTATTACCAAAAACACTTTTTATTGAGAACTAATAACAGCCAGGTAAAAGCATTTCTAAAAAATAATTTTCCTTCTAAACCTTAATATAAGATGCTCATATGATGGCAAACACTTTTATCTGAATATATTTTTGATATTGAAATGGTCAGATCTGATAAAAATGTTTTAGCAGATTGAAAAAATATTAAAACCCCTCATTTCCATGGATGCACAGATAAGCGCCATTGAAGAATATGTGTCAAACATTACTGATATTGCTAATCTTCCTAGCAATGCAAAAGAGATTACTACTTTACTACTCTTAGTTATTGAAGTAATGGAAAAGAGAACATACAATTAGGACACATACAATAAAACTATTATGGGTAAAATCGAAAAGTTTGATTTCAAAAGACAATACACCTCCTTATTCTTCTATAGGGAAATCATTTTCTGAAGATAAACATATACCATGTAATGTCCGCAGATTCGGGCAAGTCAATTTAGAGATAATAAGCATTAAAAATGACTTTTTGATAGAAGATTATTGATGGGTGTGAAATACACTAGTTTTAATCTTCTATTTTAACACAAATTAAACACACGAAAGGCATATAATATTGTTTTCACAAAAAATCATATGAAACAAGCAATTAAGAGGATGTTTATGCAACTTAATAGACTTGATAATTAACTGAAAATAGTTATTGTCCATATAGAAGTAATGAGTTTTTAGCTCATATCTACAGCAATTGACATCTCAAAAATGAAATCCAATGATAAAAACATAGTATACGTAAAAGATTAAGAAAAGAGAATGTGTGTTTCCTTTCCATCTCTTCCAAATTGATCTCTAGGGTTGATCTTCGAAATTCAGAGATCAAAGAATCCTTCTATTCGCCAATAAGTCGCCAAAAAGATCCAGCTAAACTTTTTGTTTTGGGAAATAATGTCCTTTAAATAGTTTTCTAAAAACGGGGGTGTAGAGATTAAAATGTGAAAGATCAATAAGATTCAAACAGGTATAGCAATAACACAATAATAATCAAACAGATGTTAAATGATTAAAAGTCACGCTTCAGCTGAACTCGATGAAGAATTTCAACTGTAGAAGTGTGGTAGGGTTAGAAGGTGAATAAAAGAGTTAACTAAAATAAGATGCATGCATGCACCATATATACACTAACCCTAGAATTAAATACAGGAGGACAGGCCCAACCCGTTTACAAAACAGACTAATTACATAGCCCAATGACGCAACAACTAAATACACAACAATCTACCCCTTTGCATCAATTGAGCCTATAGCTCATCAACTAGTGATTCGCTTCTGCACTTCATAGACTTTGGGAATAAATCATAGCAACATCTTGTGAACCTGGATATACCACATAATCATATCTAAATTCCAGACAAGCAATATTGTACATATGTTTGTCTTCGAGATAGAAGTAAGTCTTGAGAAAGTCAGCTCCTGTTCGTTCTCTAGACTGGTACACTACGAACGGTCCTTCCTTGTATATCTTCCCTGGCTTTAATTTCTCGAAGTCTTTTGGAGCTTCCTTGGGAACAACAATCGGCTTCTTCTTCAGAACTACGACACTATACACATCCATCAATCCAACTTCTTGAATATAAGACTTGAGCATCAGTTGGAGATGGGACATAACAGGTTCGTACTTCTCTTTCTCTCTCAACAAAATGTTGTAAATCACGATCCAATGATTAGGATTCAAACAGGGCAAGTCTGCGATGGTGAATTCGTATGCTTGACAAGTCGAACCACTCGCTACTTTGAACTTTGCATTGGGGAAGCTTTCAGTTTCGATTGGCCTAGTGACCTTTACGGAAACTATCTTGTGCGCACTCCAAATTTCATATTGTGTCTTCATGTGGTTCAAGTAGAAGGAGAACAACAGTTGATCAGCTCCACTGTCTATGAAAGGAGCATTCACAACCTAGAAAATATCAGATTTTTTGGAAACAAATACAATTACTTCACACGGGAAGGCTTACATATATTCATACAAACTCTTATGAACGCACCAACTTAATTGTTGACACTTTTTCAAACAACTTGTATTCTTAGGGAATCACTAAAAACAGGTAACTCCCAGCTTTTGAGGATGGGACGTTATGGCTTCAAACAATCTTTTGTCATTATAATGTAATTGATTTTTGAAACATGTAACACTTACAAACGCTGTAAATTTATCAATTATAATTATGATGGTTGTGTTTTCTTTGATCATATATATATATTTAATTATTATGATCATGTACATGAAAGTCACATACCCCAGGACATTTCCACCATCCTGATTTGGGGGTGTGACTGATTGGTATAAGAGCATTTTATATAGTGAATCAAGTATATCAAACCACATAAGATATACAAACTATAAATACAATGAGACTAAAACTCTCTGACGTAACTTTTTCATACAAGTATACTTTAAGATATTATGATACTTTTCATACTTCCTAGTTCAGTGTCATAATAGTAAGAGTAAATTACAAGAATGGTCCTTACGGTTTGGGGTAATTTGCATGCTTGGTCCCTAACTTATTTTTTCAACTCGGAGAGTCCCTACTATTTGTTATTTTTACACGCTTTTTCCTTATTATTTGTTTTTGTTATGCGTTTGGTCCCTATCTTACCTAAAAAGACAATTACTTAAATACAGAAAATGGTGGGATAGGTAAGGTAAGGTGAAGCGGATGGGGTCGGGGTGTGTTTATTTAAATAAATTAAAAGATCAAGGCCAAAATAGTTTTTTTTTTCGGTATGACAGCGACCAAGCGCGTAACAAAACAAAAAGTAGGGACCTTCCGAGTTAAAAAAAAATAAGTTAGGGACCAACCCTGCAAATTATCCGAAACCATAGGGATCGTTCGTGTAATTTACTCTAATAGTAACAAGACAAAAAGTATTATGATAAGTTGAACACAATGAGTAAGTCTCGAGGTATGTAACTAGATCTGGGATGAGTATAGCTCGATCAACTATATCTATCCAGGATGTAACTAACGTATGCCAAGATATGGTCGTGGTGAACGACGAGTCTAAAACATACCAACAAACTAGACAAGGAATTTCTAAATTTAAAATAATATAGGAGTATTTTATAATATTATAAAACCACACACTTAGATTCTTTATATACCTGTTACCACTATTCTTGAATAGACACTATGGCAAGATTTCACCTACCAAGAGATCCCTACTTCCCCATCCAGGGAAACGAGTGTTAGATAGGGGAGGATCTAGAGGATGATCCTGAAGAGAATTCAGAAGAAGATGAGCACAAAGAAGAAGGCAAGGAAGACACCGATTCAGAACTCGAAGTTTACAATCCACCACTTATTGCCCAAAACCACGGATGGAACTTCTTGTGGCTGGCACCCCGATGGGCAGTAGATTTGAAGACATGGATCTAGACCAGCGCCCATCCTATGGTATGGAACGAGGTTTCTACAACCTCGATAGAGGGGGTTCAACAGATAGGGCTCTCCCTGTCATGGTTTTTCGCATCGCACGCCATGGTGAACAAGCAAGGGCATGCACCAACTAGACCATGAAGATGGTGCTACCATCGAAGTAACTGTAGCTCATCTTCCTTGTCTGGACGAAGATCATGATCGAACATGGGATCATACTAAGCCCCTTCAGAAGGAAGTTATGATGACTCGAGCTAAGATGAGAGAATTTCGGGTACGTCATGCCATAATGGAGATGCTAGCTATTGAGGCTGAGCACGGAGTGAAGGAGACGTAGACATTCATGACTTCATTACAGGGATCATAGGATACCATGAACCACGATTAATTCCTATACTACTCAGTTTTTGTTCTAGATTAGGGGTTTTCGAGTAAGCGTCAGTGCTACTCTTTCCTGTATGTAGGTTCGACCCTATGAATAAGTGATTATACTATTCAAGGGGTCGATATGCTGTCAAAATGTTTCCTTACATTGATGTATTGTAGAACTGCTTAAAAGGTGAAATTTTCCCAATACTATGTACTAAAATATATCAATGAAATTAGCATGCATTTTATTTCATTCGAGTGTCACTAACAAATTCATAAATCGATTATAAATTTTTAATTAAATTTGGTAGAATTACTATCATTCCTCTTTTAAACCTTATGGCAGAAGCATGCCACCAACGAAGTCAAACAAGCACAAAACAACACACCACCAACTCCACCACCACCGCCACCACCCCCACCGATAGAGACTGCCTTCTTTCAAGCTGCTGTAAGAACAGCTATGACTGTTGCCATAGCATAGATTAGCTCCAATGGTACCAATGGGGCTGGAATTGGTACTGATAGTTCTAACCAAGGTAACAACCATGGTCGATCAAGTGGATGCTCCTATAAGGACTTCTCGAACTGCAAACCCAAATCATTCTATGGCAACAAAGGTGTCATCGCCCTGACAAGGTGGTTCGAGAACTGAGTCATTGTTTCAAATATGTGCCTGCCAAAAAAAGAGTAAGGTCAAATTCGCGGCCTGCACATTCACTGATAGGACTCTCTGCTAGTGGAACGCCCAGGTCAAATCGCCAACACTCCCTGTGGCCAACGCTTTGAGCTGGGAGGACCTAAAGTTAATGATGCTAGTTGAATATTGCCCAATGGGTGAAGTACAAAAAATGGAGCAAGAACTCTGGAACCTCACAGTGGAGGGTTCTGATATAATATCATATACCACCAGGTTCAGTGACCTGGCGGTGCTTTGTCCCGGGATGGTCACCCTGGAAAGAAAAAAGGTGGAGCGTTCCATCTCGGGACTATCCCCCCATATTCAAGGAAACGTGGTATCATCAAACCCTTCCAGTTTTGATAGTGCCAAATGCTTGGGACGAACGCTTGTGGATCATGGAGTCTACTAAGGATTTATGACGGACATTCCGGAAAAAGCAAAGAGGATTGACAATAAAAGAAGACCCTGGAACAAGAGAAAATGTAAATCAATACAAGAGCCCACCGAGAGACAACAAATAGTGGCAACCCACACTGTCACTGTCCTGACCGCCCCAACACCAACAAAACAATATGCTGGAACCCTACACAAATGCAACAAGTGCAACTTCCACCATGTTGGAGCTTGTCAGGAAATGCATTGCACAAATTGCAACAAGAAAGGACATGTTGTCCATTTCTGTAAGGAGCCAGCCCAACCGGCCATCCTAATCACAAATACCTGAGTGAGCCAAACATGCTACAGGTGCGGGGAAACGGGGAATTTCTGGAGAGAATACCTAAAAGCCAATAACAGGAATGATGTAGGTACAAGAAGGATTATGATATTAGGGCACGAGGAAGTCCTGAAGGACCCCACTGTAGTTACCAGTACGTTCCTTCTTAATAATTCATATGCATACATAGTTTTTGATAGTGGTGTGGAGAGAAGCTTCGTGAGCCAGAAATTGAAACACATGCTCAACCAAAAACCACAATTACTCAACGAAATATTCACAGTTGAAATGGAAAATGGTAAAACTGAAAGCACTGAAGACGTATACATAGGGTGCACGCTAACTCTAAACAATAATTCCTTTCAAATCGATTTAATGTCGGTTACAATAAGGAGTTTCGACGTTATCATTGGTATGGGTTATTTAAGTCCTCATCATGTTGATATCTTATGTTATAGAAAATCCAACAGACTCAACTTAACAAATAATAAAACCCTCGTCATCTACGGTGACAAACCCAACACATGTCTAAAAATCATCACTTGCATCAAGGCTGAGACTGATCTGCGCAAGAAGTGCGACACATTCCTAGCACAAATTGTTGACATGAAGTAGAAGGTAAAGGATATCAAGGATATTCCAGACGTCTGTAACATTCTCGATGTATTCACAGAAGACCTTCTGGGAATACCACCTGTGTGACAAGTTGAGTTCAGAATCGACTTAATTCCTGGAGCCACCCCCACAACCAAGTCCCCATATCGATTGGCTCCAACAGAAATGCAAGAACTGTCTGGTCAACTAAACGAACTGTTGTGAAAAGGATTCATCAGAACAAGCCTCTCACCTTGGTAATCACTAGTTTTGTTCGTTAAGAAGAAAGATGGATCTTTTGGCATGTGCATTGACTATCGTGAGTTGAACAAACTCACCTTAAAAAATCGATATCCCCTACCACGAATCGATGACCTATTCGACCAACTTTAGGGAGAATGCTACTTCTCAAAAATCGATCTAAGGTTGGGTTACCACATACTGCAAGTCTAGGAGGAAGATGTTTCCAAAACTACGTTTCAGACTCGTTACAGTCATTACGAGTTCGTGGTAATACCCTTCGGATTGAGAAATGCACCTGCAATATTTATGGACCTAATTAACCGTGTGTGTAGACCTTAGAAAAATTTGTGATAGTATTCATCAACGCCATATTGGTCTATTCTCGAAGAAAGGAATAACATAGTCAACAAGAAAAATTTGAGCTTCACCAAATTCCAAACTTCCATGGGAAAATTACAATAAAAAAAATAAGCGACTATGTGAATCCGCATGGCCATTACATAAAGCACAATTGAAATCATTTGAAACTTTCGATTTTTTCATTATGTCTTGACCAACGAGATCAAACCAATCCAACAAGAAAAGTAGAAACTTGACTAACATCAAATGGGACAATATCTCTCTTCCAATTCATCCAAAACAATTCATGATTTAGGTTTAGGGTTTAAGGTTTACATAGTATACCTTAGATCAGGTGACAAAAGACCATGAGTAACCGTCTCGTATACAGCTTTAGCAACTCCTTTGGCGAGCTTATGACAAGTCCTGCAGACGTTGCGGACGGAAAAACTATATGCAAAATTTCCCAAATGTGAATTTTGGATCCAGGAGGTGGACTTCTTTGGTCA